CCAACCCTCACCTATCCTTTGACCATTTCTTTGTTCCCCTGGCCGCCTTTTAGGTCATTTCCAATCCCTCACTCTTCAACTCATCAAGCCCTCTAGATACATCCCATGATGTCCCATAAAGATGTCCCATAAAGGGGACTTTGATCTCATCCACCCCTTCTTACATCTATGCAGCCACAACTGTCCTAATCGCTTCCATCCCCCACCAATTAAGGCAGCTCAGCGTCAATTGTAGGATCTCTCTCTTTAGCTAGTCTGCCTTATTAAGCAGCTATCCTCTCTATCTGTCGGGACAAGCAGGGAGCCTGATAATGTTTTTCTTAACAGCTGGCACCTGTCAATCCCAAGTAGCTCACGGGGCACCTGATAGGTACCTAAAACTTATATAAATGCTATTACTAAATGGATAGGATTTAATAATAGGTTTTAAAAGTGGGTATAAAATAGCCCCAACGTGTTTTCATTCTTTAAAAGTTAAACGAATAGGTCTCACCTTTTTCTAGGCTGCTATTGCAACTGTCCTAACTAATGAGTAATCTGTAAAACAGACGGGAGAAACCTCGGTCTCCGACCGGGACAATGGGGACCATTCCCATTGTCTAAATCAGCTTCGAGGGGGTCTTGCACCTGCCAGCCCGCTCGCAGGAGGGTTTCACCGGGACTGGCGGGACCCCTGATGTACCCACCATCAGGGAGAGGGGCCAGTCCCCCCATTAGCTCCTAATCTTTAATTTAAAAATAAAAATAAATAAAAAACGCTTGAAAGTCCCTGATAAGACCCTTCCGGCCAGCTAGATCCGCAAACGCCTTATGATCTTCGGGGCATCTGTCCTTAACCCTTCAGATAGGATGTAAATCGACTTAAATAAAATTGCACCTTACTGACTCACGAAGTAAAACGGCTAGGACCCCATAGATTTCATTCTTCTTCGGCTCTGGTGGACCTAAATACTTAGCTCCCCAAAACACTCATACTAACCTAAATAAATTCAGGTTGCTTTCTCAATAAGGCTGCATAGTTCCTTACTCTTTAATTAAACCCCTAAAGATAAAAAAACTAAAGGGAGAGATCCTGGGGGAGAAGCAGCTCTCTCTCGGGTTGACTTCTCCCCCATAGCCATGAGTCATCTTCTCAGGGCTAAGTCATTAGCTTCATGAAGGTCTTGCTCTCTGCCAGCCCTCATGTTGGGATCTCACCATGGTGAGCGAGAGTCATGTGTCGGTCCACCACATGACAGCGGGGCCCACCATACCTTTAGCTCCTAATTAAAAAAAAAGCTTGCAAATGCCTGAAAGTAAGTTTAAGAAGCTCCATCATCTACCCTCGTATAATAGCTATGACCCTAATTTCCTTATCTCCAGGAAAAGAAAGGAGGATTTGAGTAGTCTACACAGCAGGAAAGGGAGAACCGTTTCCTGGAAAGTAGTGAAATGAGCACATTCCGAAAAATAAATGAATTTCTTTGCCGTCATTGACTCAATATTGGGGTGCTACTAGGGTGGGAGTGAGCATTCCAATAAGTGACACTGCAGTGTTGGCCCAACGTTCAGTCTGTGTTGAATTTCAACGTTCATCTGAGTATTCCGAAAAGCGACATTGAAATATTGACTGAATGTTAGATGCAACCAGGGCCGGATTGGGGGGGGGGGAGGGGCAAAGGAGGCAGTTGCCCCGGGTCCTACTCTTCCAGGGGGCCCCCGAAGGATATTAAAAACGTTAAGTTAAAAAAAAGTATTGTATTTGCGTAAAGTAGCGGGGGGGAGCCCCAGGAATTCACTTGCTCCGGGCCTCGCAACTTCTTAATCCGACCCTGGATGCAACACCACCAACAGTGGGATGGTTCAAATTTAACGTTCATGCAACGCTGATTGAACGTTCGTTTGTTTGCTGGGTAGTTGGAGATGTGAGCCCCTTCATGTCAGGGGGAGGAATTAACATATCTCGTCGATGTAACTGAAAGACATAATAATAAGCTAAATTATATCATTTGAAGATGTGTCTCCTATTTTGGGATTTTTCAATAAAATTATACCATTTTAATACTTTACCATTGTTCTCCAGTGGATCAATAACTTGGCGCTGGGGAGCACTCGAAGAACAAGTAAAGACATCTCAGAAAATAAAGGGTTGTCTTGCGCAGCAGGAAACGAATCCCCTTCAGAAAGAAAGGGACATCCTTGGGATATCCATGTGCCCTGACATTTTAATATCCCAAAGATGTCCCCACAAGTAATGCCTGGGACTTCTCACTTGTCCATAGGTGATATCCCTGGGACATCTTTGGGATGTACTTGTGCGGGTTTATGCACTCAGTTTCACCTGTCGAGCAGCTGTAATATGTGTCTGAGAGGCAATCACGAATGGATTCTATCATACGCATGATACGTAAATATTTCACGATGCCGTTTACACTGCATAGGTAAAATGGTGAATGGCTTCCGCGGTCTGGAACGGACTTTTCTTCTGCTGTCAGAGGGGAGAAAATATGTATGTGACTACTGAGATGTGTCAAAAGTGGCATTGTTTTCTTAGTTACGCTTCCTCATACTGAGTCCGAGAAGAAATACAAAAATAAAATAGAAATTTTGAACTGGATTCGCTCGAAAATAGGTGATTTCATTGATGCACTTACGATCATTCATTGATGCACGTAGGCTTTGATAACGTGTTATGTAAGTTTCAAGGGCTGAATAATCTATTTACGACCCGGATAGTGTGAGTGGAACCTGTAAGGGGCGAAAGGGATGATGCCCTTCTGGAAAATTACCAAGTAGTTAAATGCCTTCAGGAACAAAGCAATTCAACGGGAGCAATATAACTCTAAATAAAAAAAAACTAGGAAGTTGATTCAGGAGCTCCGGGATTATTAAAAGCCTCTACCTTCAAGTCTACCTTTTTAAGATAAAGGGGGATGAGAAAGGAGATGATAGGCGTTCGATAGTGACCCGGACTTTCGGTCGATATTAGCGAAATACCTTTTTACGTCCCAACCCAAACCTAGGACCTTCAACTTTTTTTACTCACAACGAAGCCTCCAGAAAAATATTGGTCTATGACAGGGGTGTCAAACATACGGCCCGCGGAGGTGATTCATCCGGCCCGCCGCCTGTTCTTGAAATTTCAGCTTGGATTGACTGTTTGCAAAAATTTCGGTGAAAAAGTATGGGTGCGGCCCGCAGGCATCTCTAGGATAAGGAATGCGGCCCGCCGACCGATTTGAGTTTGACACCCCTGGTCTATGATATTGTAAGGTCAGTCTGAGATTCAATCTTATTCCTCGTCCCTACTTATGGCCCAACGTCACCACGAGCAGCATGATACGAGGCGGGCGAACGAACGAGAAAAGTAGTGCGAACGACGGGAGGAAGCATGAATCGTTATGCCTAGATAGCTGTGCGCTATCTAGGCATAACGATTCGCGCACACCCTCAACCTGCAACTCGCGAGTCACACAGGCGACTAGTTCATTGTAATAGACACTCTCGAACAGTGGCCACTCCCAGAGTTTTTGTGAGTCAACACCTGGAACCTGTTCGTCTTTGCAAAACTCTGATCTAAACCTGAATTAAAACTAGGCTAAACCTAAATCTAAAATTATATATAAGTCTAAATCGTAGGTAGACAGCTGCCTCTGATTAGTAAGCTGCTTTTTTTTTATTGGATTCAGATTTGGACTAAGATTCAACAAAGGAGAGGAGAAGTCCAAGGACGGTTTTCATGCAAAGCTTTTTCCGAATAGAAAATTTTAAAAGGTTTAAGATCGGTATAAATTACTTGTTTAAAAGGAATAAAATTTCGAGAGAACGCATGAACCCAATTCGTCATCAATGCGCGGCAGAGCACAAGGGCTGCTCAGTCTGGAACTCAGTTCACATCGTGCCGGTTTCACACTTTGGTACCTTGGCTGGTGGGAGGTTAATAATACTGCTTGATAATACCAATCTAGTACGAGATGGTACAAATAGAGGAAACCGAAGAGCGTAGTAAAGGCTATTTTTTAACTTTATTTTTTATCACCCTGTAGTACAGTACACTTTCATTATTGATGCAAACTAGGACGAGTGGCGACACTCGGCAATTGCATTCACCGGAGTGGCTCACAAGGAAATAAAGAGTTGAGAAATCCAGGAATAGTCCAAATCCTATGCAAGATCCTCAAGCTTCTATTGCACTATCGCAGAAAATTTTTAAGGAAAGGGCCAGCTGGAAGGTGCTTTTCACATTTCATGCGTCATGCTATGAAGAAATCAAAAAGGCAACCAAGAGTAAAGAAAAAAAAGAGCTGTAATGACGAACTTACTGTGGCTGGAGGTGGACGAGGAGGAAGAAGTAGGGAGATGGATGGCGTCCATGTCGGGAACGTGATTCCCGTCCTACACTTCTCCCGTTATCACGCACACAACAACACAACAAAAGGCACTACCTGTTATGAGGGAAGATGAAAAAGGGAAAAAAAGCATATGAGGTCACTCCAGATGATGCAACGCAAGATCATCGCATTGAATGTAACGATGACTCCTCCGTTCTCTGCGATCTCGGCCTGGCGAAATCGGACCTACATCGAGGTCATGTAAAGCATTGTTGGCGTAAATCGCCGAAACCACAAAGGCTGAGGTAATTGATCTCAACAGCTGGTCGCAGGAGCTCGCTGGCGGTAACGGGCGGATAACCCAGATAACGATCTGGTTATGGGAAAAATACCACTCTCGCTGTCGTAGATCTTCACGGCTCGAGAGCCTTGAAAACACCGGCAAATTAGTCAATCTCATAAATGACTTGACCCATTTGAATGGAAAAAGGAAATTATGAAACTGTGGCTTTCTTTGAAGGTCAGACGGACTTTCGATTATCAGTACTGCACAGAGGTTCCCCTTTCTCCACATCGGGAAATTCAAATCTGCACTCGATTCCTCCAACTTGCATGGTGACTTGAAAGAATACTTTCACCTCGATGCACAATTCGCATTTACACGAGGCAAGGTTTATCTCTCCGCTAAGAGTGAGTAGTTTGTTCAAGGGAAACGGCCACTTCACATACCTTCATGTGCCATTACGGATCTTTAGCAATTGAAATGACATCAACCAATGTTGCGACATGGGTGGTCATTTGTCAAGTGAACCGAGTGAGATACTATAAGAGGCGTTCTTGAAAGGTTTTCGCGTCTTCTTTTCCCATTGCATTCCAATGGATCCAGTCGCAGATAGGTTAGGCTGAAAAACCAGATGTAATGCGTTTTCTAATTAGAACAAGGCTAGGGTGCACCTAAATAAGGCGATTATGTGATCATCACTTCAGGATAAGAACAATTACTTAGCATAAATATAGATATAAATATACATATACCTACATATTGTAGAAAATGTGAAACTAAAACGTAGATTTTCAGCAAACTCTGAGACGCTTGTCGATTCAGTTGCACGGAACCTGATAGGAGCTCCTATCGGGTTGTGCATCGAGTGGGTAGTACATGCTGGACTTCACGATTTTATCGTCCGTCGACCTTGAAAGATGCGGCGATGAAACGTTCACACTTGGCTGAGTCGTGTTCGGGGACCAAGACCATGACGCAAGTGACCACGAGGGGAAATACCGTTCCATAATTGCAATCATCTTTCGTGGCAGGGAAGGAACCCACAAGGCTCTTCAAGGACGATGAGTCTGGATTTCGCAAACTCGGAGGCGAAAAAATTCTGTTTCCCCCCTCCTGCAACTTTTTTCCGAGGACCTTCCTCCCCTCGTCGCACAGGGACAGAGCGGTTGATATCAACCTTCCCACTCACTCGTGAAAGGTCATCCAGTGAGTCCTCGAGACAAGATGCGGAATTTCTGCTTCTCTGTCAAGGCTTCTTCGATCCGATCGCGTACATGTAGAGATTCTTGTCAGTTCTGGTTACCGACAACTCATTCGTCATATTTACTTTAAAAAAAAAAAGGTTGGCTTGGAGATTACTGAAATCGCTCGCTATACTGAAGAAACTTCGCGTTCGTCATCGATCCATTCTGACACGGACGACTTGGCTTCCTTCCCGTGACAGAAATGTTCTACGGACGGCATTCATTGACTCCGAATCGTGAGAATGAGGTCATCGTATCGTAACACCGAACATTCGGCGCTGGGTGTTGGACGTATCGCAAAGAGCAATATCGTCTCGATATCGACAAGCGATGGAGTGCTGGGGAGGAGTGTCAGTGATTCGAGATAACGATAAAAATAAACACATTTGACCGAGACTTTCACCAAACCGACGACCCCGCAATACCTAATCGTGGAAACACCACGGAATGGTTGCACCACTGAAGACGCCGACCCACGTGCAGTTAACTCCAGCACAACTTCAATCAGTCTCGAAACCATTTAGGAAGCTCTGAAATTCTCCGACTCATATTCCCTCTCATTTCACAATCCTTCTGATGACATTTGTAGCGAGCGGGCAAAAAAATTTCGTAACATGGCACAGTGGGAAAGTATTGTGGACACTTCCCCGTGTGCATCGCGATCTGGACCCTGTTCCCTGACCTCAGGAGCTCCTCTATTTTCTTCCCGAGTTCCGTCTCAGCGGGAGTGAGCAATCTTTATTTTTCACCTGCCTAGCAGGAAAGTGGTTGTTCTCCGAATCTATGGAGAGTTGAAGGATATATTTCGGCATTGAGGCAGTTCTGGTACTAAAATTCCGATAATCGGAGTTCTGCTTATAGATGACAATCGTTCGTGAATGTCTTTGTCACCTTGTTGGTGAATCTATAAGAATTCGTAAAGCGGATCCTAATGGGTTTCTGCGAGTCGCACGATGAAATTTGGCATCGGGTGTAGCTGTTGCATCGATTGAATGAAGTAACACTTCCGTTCCACTAGAACTAAAATATGGAGTGAATATGGATATGAGATGAGTGGCAGCGACAAGTGGCGATCCATCTCGTATACCAGTGCATGCCTTATCCCTGAGATGTCATCTCACTTCGTTACTTTTTTTTAGTCCTTCAAGTGCCCTTCCTCACGAATTCTTTATAACCTTCTGAGGACAGAGATCCTGTAGGGTGATTATAAATTTCCAGGGAAATAAAATTTTCTGTACTTTCAGTCTAAGGCAATGGTTCATTTACGGGTAGGGCATGTTTCGAGGTCCATTATGCAGAAGACGAATAGCGGCAAATGGTAAACCCGATTTCTTCCCCAGCACAAATTCGCCTGCTCAGAGCAGTCTTCGTGCATGAGCCTGACATTGGAACCACCTTGAAATGTAGTATTCATATATTGTCATCCATACTTCCAACTACTGCAATATAATGCCGGTAAACTTAGACGATAAAAAAAAACATAAAAGCCTGCCGGGACTTACATGTGCAAATCATCCTCAAAGGTCCCCTAAGACTCATGCAGGAAAGTAATTCCCATTGACTTTATAATCACCCTATAATTAGCACATTGAACGGTGAAGCCACACAGTCACAAGGAGGCACGTGAGCAACGTCAGGCGGTCCGAAAACGGTTGGTAGGCGGAGGGATGGACGTAAAGAGCGTTTGAGGCACTCGGGGAATTTTAAATCGAGGGACTCCAGTCGACCTTGACTATGAAGAGAAGACCACTCCGGTACCGGTTCTAAGGAAAAGGAAAAGCCCAGGGAGACACTCTCGTCCACTTTCACTCGTCTCTACGGGGCGACACCGTTTGTCTCGCATTAGCACCGTTCCTTCTCCCAATGCGGTTAATACACCTCTTATGGTAATTTTGATTTAATTACACTTTCATTCCCGCAACGCTCACAGTTAACAGTTGTGGAATGATGTAAAATTAAGACTGAAATTGAATGCCCTCTTGTGAATCTCCCGTAATGATAGCGTGACTCGACCAGACGGAGGTCTTTGTTTCTGAAGGCTGAACAAAAGATAATCTCATAGCAAAGAACTCCCATGCAGAGCGGCGCGGCAACGAATCGCCCGCTAAGTAATTTCTGATACAACGATCATGAGCCAGCAACACTTGCGTCACATGAGGAAACGTAATGCGGAGAGGGGTGACTCAATTGATGGCTCTTCAACTCGAGACGACTTCTTGCTATAAATGGATTTCCTAATACGAGCATAACGAAATGGATTTATAACAAATGAAACAACAGGATTCCGTATACCACGCGTATACCTCGTATACAGGCGCTGACACCTCGTATCGCGCCTGAAAGCAAAGAGGTCTGCACCGCAATTTCCTGGACAACCAACAACGAGCTCCGCGCTACTTCTAGTTTTCTCCCGGATCCTTCGGGATTTGAAGAATTTGAAGATGCATTTAGGTCTGATAGGAGATAAATGAGAGTCCTGATTGTGACTCGTGATTCAAGCTGTTGCTTTAATGAGCGGAAATGACTAAAGGTGAGTTCGAACAAATTCAGGCTGACGTCTTACACACCAGTCATTCTTTTTACAAGGCTCGAACACTTCTCGCTAATGCCTTGAGGTTATTATCTACCACACCCCCCAAGCTAACGCAACAAATATCATTCAGAAGAAACTAACGAATATTGCCATATTGTCAAGCTTTTGCCTGCCAGCTCCTCACATCTCTGACAAACTAGAATTTGAAGCCTATTATTTCAACAACTAATGCTAAAAAAAAAATTGGTTGCCATGAAAACTGTGGGCAGATGAAAGGAAATTGATATTGTCAAAAAGGTACTTAAAGGGTAAATAACTAAAAAAAACTACATCTGAAATTTTCTCTTATAAGTCAGTATAGGAATGCCGACGGGATAAATTCAAACGCTGAGCGATACCGCATTTTTTCACGGACAATTCTATGATTTATTGTTGCCAAGGCTATCATAAAGCTAAAACGCCCAGAGCCAAATGACATGCCAACGAAGGCGTAAGGAAGAGAATGCTAATACTTTCTTGGGGGACAGAAGGCATCAGGCCGGGGCATCGTTCTGCAAAACCGTCTCTCGTTTCGATGAGAAGAGAGATGTCTTGTCTTGCGTGTTTCTGATCCGTTTTGCCGGATCCGAAATTTTTTCGAGGTCTCGTAGGTTGGCGCTGTCGAACCGTATCGACGAACAGAAATCAAAGTATGAATGCACGCTTTTGCAATCTGTCATTTCGTTGAACAGAGTAATGTGAATAACGAGTTCCTTTCAAATAAATTGCGTGGTAGACTTTTTGCCTCAAATATTCTCAAATTCGAAAATGTAATAAGCTGAAGCGAATTGGAAACTCATCGAGAAGTTTGAGCTGGCAACGAAGATGAATAATCGGAATATCCGTTCTCAAAGTTGTCCACATTTTTTTTTTTTCTTTCGAACATATCATGTGAATAACGCGACTTCAGGAAGGGTCTACGAGGAATATAAGAATTTGGAACTCTGCGTTGAGGACGCTTCTACGAAAGGACGAGGAAAACACGGAAGCATGTATCGATTTTTCCCGCTTCGGG